ATAGATAGATAGATAGATAGATAGATAGATAGATAGATAGATAGATAGATAGATAGATGGATGGATAGATGGATAGATGAATAGATGGATAGATGGATAGATGGATAGATAGATAGATACATAGATAGATAGATAGATAGATGAATACACAGAGTCTTGTAAAGGTATTGATTGAAGGATTGTTCGAGCTTGCCAACCGGATAGCTTGGTCCGTCCCCGGACAAGGTTTCCCATTTTGCCCCAGTTTCATTTTGTTGCTATCTCTCAACGAGGCGAACCATTTCCGCCCCCGTGTTGATAGATGAATGGATGTGATGACCCTCCGGATGGATAGATGGCAACAAGTCGAAAAGGCTAGTGATGGAGAAAGGGAGGCAGAGAGGTGTTTTTGAGCATAAGAGGGGATAATCAACAAATTGCTGTTGCCTCGAGGCTAAAAATCACAAGTCTCTTGACAGTGTTTCAGGGCCACGATGACAACTAGATGTTAATTTCTTGGCGAGCATCAGCGTCTGGTGTTTGATCGGTCAGCACACGTTCTGCCTGTATTGCCGACACACATACAATCAGAGTAACAGTTATATGCGGCTGTTTCAGTGTGAGTTTGCATGTATGTGTGTGTATGTGCTCTTGCGTTTGTTTGATTCCGTGTTCGAGGCGCCAATAGATTCGGACACTTCTCCTGCCTGCTTAGACTTAATGTGCTCCACCTCGAGTGAGCTCTTGAAGAAGACTCTCCTTTTAGGTCGGCCAATTCCATGCTTGGTCTGCTGTCTCTCGCGCACGTCTGTCACTGTAACTGTAAGTTGTTGGCAGCTCTCCAATTGGCCGGGGCCTCCTACGCTTCCCCTCCTTCAACCCGGCCGCCCTTACTCTCCCTCCTCAAGATGTAGCCGCATTGCTGCTCTGCCCTCGCAGAAGAGAGAGAGAGAGAGAGTGATAGGCAGCAAGCAAAAGGGAGCCGGTGGAGAGGGATGAGCATCAGTCGCGTTCGGAGGGACTAGTTGCGAA